ATCCATATTTAAAGTCGTAGTCCATCAAAAAAGAAGAAAAAGCAACGGCCAAAATATTTTTTCAAATATATCATTTTTAGCTTTTAATTTATTTATTTTTTACATAGTAGTTCTCTTTACGTTAGAGATTATATATCTCAAAATAATGGGTGCAGTTGGCATACGAATGCATCTGTAGGTGTAGAGGTAAGGTGCACTTTCAAATGTTATCATGGTATATAATTTATATGTAAAATGCTTTTAGGATTATCTCAAAATCTATTTTTATATCTAATTATAAAATTTAAAATTTAAAAAATGGTTAAAATCAAATAGATCTATAAACATATGAAAATCTTGAAAATGGACGGTGTAGATAATATGTTGTAAAATGCACTATTTCTAAGACTTAAACTTTTTATTTTTCATATTCATACATCTCGATGTCGAGATGATCAATCAAAGGGTTTTTCAACATTAAAACTACTTTTTTCTGATGGATTTTTAAGGGGCATCCGTAGTTCTGGATTATAAGGTAGCATCCTTATATAAACTTGTTCCCTAAATAATTAAGTCTAAAATCTATCTAAAACATAGATCTTAAAGAGGGGACACATATCTACATACGAGTCCTATGACTCATAAATACCTTGTCCAAAAAACAAAAGAAAAAGTTTACGTAAGGTGTCAACCTTATACTGTACGGGTAAGGTGTACCTAAAAACACCACTAGAGAAGGTTGTTCCTATGATGAAAACCCTTAAATCGATCATCTCCACCTCGAGATTCTTAGCTCTAAAAAAGAAAGGGGTTCCTAGTACTAAAAATAGTTCATCTTTTGACACTGGACGGTCTATTTTCAAGATTTTCAAGTATGTATAGATCTGCCTGAACCATCACTATTTCTAGATCTTTTAAAGTTTAGAATTGGGGAAAGCAATAGATTTCATATCATCCTAAGGCTTTACAGCACTGAAATTGCATTTCCGACGTAGTTTTGAGGTGTACCTTGTACAAACGTCACCCAAAAACATAGTTTACAGTGATTCTTAATGTCTCCTAGATTTGTCACCATTTTGACACTCAAAAGGTGCCAGTGTGATGAAAAAAGTTTATATAAGGATGCAACCTTACAATGTACAACTACGGATGCCCCTAAAAATCTATCGAAAAAGGAAGTTTTAATGTTGAAAAACCCTTTGATTGATCATCTCAACATCTAGATGTAACACTATGAAAAATAAAAAGATCTTAAGTCTTAGAAATAATGCATTTTACAACATATTATCTACACAGTCCATTTTCAAGATTTTCATATGTTTATAGATCTCCTTGATTTTAATTATTTTTGAAATTTAAAAATTTATAATTAGATACAAAAATAGATTTTGAGATAATCCCAAAAATATTTTACTTTCAAATAAAATTTGAAGGTTGACCTTTCCGCTACACCTACGGACACATCCGTATGCCAATTGCACCCCAACGTGATTGGGATACTAATTTGATTATAGAAGTTGTGGTATAGAGAGAGACTTGCATACTTACCTTAAAAAGCCCAATTTTTGGCCGTTGTTATTTAATTAGGATTATGTTGGCCGTTGTTATTTAATTAGGACCATGGAATGGTTCGTGGGAGTGATAAAACTAGATGTAAGATATGGTAGGCTACGTGAGCACACAAGTCTTTTGGATTCATTTGAAAAGCCAAAGCTATATCCATCATTCCCCTCAAAGTACTCCTTGCATTCAATAAAAAGAAATAAAAAAAGGGATTGTGTACTATGAGATCATTCATTTTTTGTACAAAAAAGTCACACTTTTTCTAAGTTATTGGATGTGAAATCTAACATATTGGAATGTACCATAACTTTTTAGGGAATTTGTTTTGGACTTTGTGCTCAATTAGTGACGCATCACCACCTCTATGATTTCACATTCAATGGTCACCATCAATTTGATTTTTACATTCAATGGTTGACAATGATTATGTCCTTCTTGTATAAAAAATAAATAGTCTCATGTAACACATGAAGCATGTTTAAGCCCATTTTATAAGCATAGCGTTACTTTTCGGAAGACCCAACCATTGAAGGAAAAATCGGGTGGTCTAACCGGTAACCGCTTGATTAGATCGGAACCTGCTGCTGGTCGGTTCTGGTTTCGGTCGGTTTTGATGACTAT